TACTTAATTGTTGTTTTTATTTTATGAAAGACATATTGCAACGTTTTTTTTACATAAAAGTTTTTATAGAAAATATTTAATAATGTTAATATAAGTTAAATAATAATAAAAATAAAAATTGTAATTAATTCTACTTTAATTTTTACGAATTTATTAATTTTTACAATTTATAAATTTAAAGAAATTTGCGGGAATGGATGATAAATGTCGGACCAATCACAAACCGGGGAGAAGGTGGCCAGACTCTTATTAGAGGGTCACTAAATCCTACTAATTCCAGCTGAAATGCATCGCCGATTAAGGATGCGGTCGAGTAGCCACTACGAATGCTTTGAAGCGTTTGATTGACCAATCAAAAGAATGAATTTTACAAATTGACCAATCAAGAAACACTTCAAAGCATTCGTAGTGGCAACTCGACCGCACCCTAAATCTGATTAGTCATTTATCGTCAGAAAGAAGGCTAAATCCGATTCAACTCGTAAACGCTAAATATCCTATTGATTCTGATTGAATGTTACTGAACCAACTATGGGCCAATTTCACCAACGTCGGTTAAGCTAACCGACGATTAAAGTGTCAACCGTGATTGGTTCATTCTGGTCAAAGACAAATGCGATTGGATAATTCTATTGGAATTAACCGTCGGTTAACTTAACCAACGTTGGTGAAATTGGCCCTATGTGCTTTGCCGATAAATTCTTATTGAATTTAACGTTGGTACTTGAGCCGGTTGAATCCGATTGGTGCACCCATATATGTAATACTACTATATGGCTAGATGAGAGAGAAGTCCATGTCCCACGGTGCGGGAATATACTTCTCTCTCTTTCTCAGCGTACTTTGAACGTTGTGCGCATGCGTCGGATTCATCCCCTCCATCAATAATAAATAGAAGGATAAATATACATATATGTGTAAGGAAGAAGGAAAAAGTGATTGATTCCGCTTCAGGGTATAACCTTATTACAGTTAACAGAGTCAGTTTAGTCGGAATAAATAAATTAATCCTAATTTTATGAAATAAACTTTTTCAAAATTGCCGTTATGTATATAAGAATACAGTGCAATCCCTTACAGAAATTTCATGATAATCAGTGCAAACTAATACCTATTTCATACCTATGCAAACTAATGTTTTCAGTCGCATTAGGCGCATTAGGCTTTTTGCCACATAAATAACATATCTTGACCATTTTTGCCTGTGTACAACAGCACACATCTAATAAGCATAACGAGCATAACCTGTTCGCGTCATCTCACTGATCGCACTCTATTTTCCTATTGGCGGATGCAATCAATCCAACGCATGCGCACAATACTCAAAGTACTCTTAGAAAGAGAGAGAAATATATATTCCCGCACCGTGGTTCTGGGACCGCTTCCTCTCACTCCTTCTTATAGGCACTAGCCATATAGTAGTATTACATATATGGGTGCACCACATTTGTACTAGGAAAATAGCATGTTATTTCTTAATAAAAGTAGTGCCTGATAGAAATCCTATTAATTCTTATTTGTTTTCAATAGGTAGAATTTTCTGTTCCGATTGAACTGATTTATTCCCATTAATTTTTATCGGATTTCATCGGTTTCAAACAGTTTTAATAGGAAGTTTTAAGCAGGGCAATCACAATCAAATGTGAGAAGAATAATCGACTGTGAGTGGTCAATTTCTTATAACTTAATACTTAAAACTTAGGTAATGGCCTGGGGCTCTATTCCTGAAAAGAAACGTATACGAAAAACTAGGAAAATACTATAGTATACGTAACGTATACTGTATTTCCCTAGACTTTCGTATACGTTTCTTTTCAAGAATAGAGCCCCTGGTTTACATTGTGCACTTGATACGCGTACTAACTGGTTACTTTTATAGCGTTTTCCA